GGATCTTGGGAGCGTGGGGCATTGTGGGCAGACCCAGGACCAGGCCAGGCCCCGCAGCCCTATTCAGAGCTCCAGAGCCCCGTCCGTGAGAGTGGCCTCCTGACAGCGTCCCTGCAGGGCCCAGGGCCCCCCACCCCCCACGCCCAGCCAGCCCCGGCCTGGAGGCTGAGTCCCCTCCTGAGCCCAGTCTCCTCCTGCCCACCCCTCCCCCATATCCCTCCTCCACAAAGCCCCCTGATTGTGGCAGGTCTGGCAGCTTTCTCAGCACATGCACCCCAACCTACGTGACGCCTGGGGTCCCCCGTGGGCACTGCCTTCACTGTCTCCCTGGGCTCCCAGGAAGCAGCAGGGGTGGGCCGTTGAGCTCTGAGTGACCCAGCTCCAGGCCCAGTGCAGCCCAGGCTCTGGGGGCAGCTGAGGGGACCTGGACCCTGGGGCCTGGAAATGTCTGAGTGGGGTCCCTCCTTCTCAGGGCTCAGGAGACCATGCCCAGGGCCATCTGCTGTCTTTTCTGGGCCCAAAGTTGGGCTGTATGTTCGCAACAGTCCAGGGACTCCAGCAACGGGCAGCAGGCAGGCGGGTCAGAGCCCTGAGTCTCCACCTATGGCCTGCACCGCACTGCCCAGCCTGCGGGCATCTCTGGGTGGACACACCAGGTCTGCCCCACGGCCAGTCCTGCAAGCCCTCAAAGCCCACACCAGCCAGGCCTTACCAGCTCACCTGCTCAGGAAGCCGGGTGCTCGTCTGGGCACTTGCCTGGGCAACACACCCCCGGCCTTTGTGCATCTCTGGGGCGCTGGCTCTCCTGCCCTGGCCTTGTGCGCGGCACGGGCTCCTGAGAGGGGACCTCTGGGGCGACGAGCAGACAGGCCCTGGGCACAGTCCCAGCCACAACTGGGGGCTGCTGTACTTGCAGCTGGGACCAGGGAGGCCACCGGGCACCTGGCAGAAGTGCTTGCCAGGCAGCTACCCAGCAGGTGTGCACCAAGCCGGCCCTGCACCCACATTCTGTCAGCATCTCTCAGACACGGGTCAGTCAGCAAACCTTCCGGAGCCTCTCATGTTGGGGCTGGGCCCCAGCAGGGACAGGCCCTGCCCCAGAGGCCATAGACAGCCGGTGTGTCAGCAGGCTCTGTGGTCAGGGCTGGGGTGGGAGGCCGAGGGGCTGCGGGACGGCGCCCTGGAGGACGCCAAGGTTGAGTTGCTCAGGGACAAACGGGGAGAGGTCACTTCAGCAGGCTGGGGACGATAGACCAGGGAGGTCACCCGACACCAGGGTGCCCGGCATAAGGGGAGATGGCCAGCATCTGCAGGAGGCCCCAGCCAGCCCACTCGCGGGCACGGGCAGCCGCATGCACACCCGGCCCGGGAGACAGCTGCTCTGCACGGGGGAGGGGAAGCGAGGCAGACTCTACACCTGGGGTCCCCCAAACCCCTGGCTGCAGACCGGTACTGGGCCGTGGCCTGTTGGGAACTGGGCCGCAGAGCAGGAGGTGAGTGGTGGAGAGTGAAGCTTCACCTGTGCTTACAGCCGCTCCCCATCGCTCACCATCCGCCCAGTCCCTGGTGCCAAAAAGGTTGGGGACCACTGCTGTATACCCTGCCTGCCCCTCCCTGGGCCTCTCCGCCCTCAGAGCGTGGGTGAAGCCCTCCAAGGTCAGTCTGAATCCAGCCCAGGGAGGAACAGCGGGGCAGGGGGCAGGCGGCACCATCCCCAGCCCTGTCGTGTACACAGACGGCCCACCACAGCCTTCAGGGACCCCGCCTGCCCTAGCGGACAACAGCAGCTGAGGAACAAGGCCTGCACCTGGCCTGGCTGTGAGCCAGTCTCATCACGACACCTCTGAGCCCCAACTTCCCTCCCAAGAAGTGGGGAGCATCATGCTACCTGCCCCCCAGTGGGGCTGGGTCACGGGAGAGCAAATGCCAAGATGAACCCTGCAGGAAGTAAAGGGGCCAGTGGCCCAGGATGGGAGGCCAAGCCCCAGCTGCAGCTCAGACTCTCCTGGGAGCTCTAAACACACTGACCCCTCCACACACCCCAGACCAAGTCTCTCTGGGGCGGGAGAAGGACCTCGTCTGTTTTAAGGTCGCCTGGGTTGTTACAAGGCATGACGTCTGTCCTGGTGCCGCCCAGCGCCTGGGGCCGGGTATACAGCAGGAGCTCCAACAGCAGCGCTTGCCTATTGATTTACGTAGAGGTGTGTTCTGCTCTTAGAAGTGCTGGCATTGGCCCCACGAGAGCGGCTGGGGTGGTCAAAGTCAGCGGGGCGCCCCAGTGTCTCCAGAGGCACGAGAGACAGGAGCAGGTCAGATTCAGCTTGGCTGGGGCGCAGAACCTAAGGGGCTTCTTCCCATCAGCACCTGCAGGTGGCCCCTGGAGAACTGGCCGCAGGACCCTCTTGCCCTCTCCTCTGTACACCAGGCCTGCAGCCTCACCCCTCTGCTTCCAGGTTCCCCAGCCAGTGTGGGAGCAGCCCCTTCATTTGGTGGTCCGCCCTGCCCTGGGGTGTACCCTGGGAACCCCGTCCTGGCTTCCACCGTAGGCTGGGACAGGAAGCCCAAAGTGACTTCCCCCTGGGGAGGCCTCACTGCACTGCACCCCTCATTCAGCTTCCTGGGGTCCCGGCCCTCACTCTCCCATCGTGTCTCCAGAGCAGCCGTGTGTCCGAGTATTCCTGCCCTCCCATGTTCCTCTCAGGGCCCCCAACGCCCACTGCCCAGGGCTGCCCACCCGACCCACAGGAGAAGGTCCCCAGGCCCCAGGCCATCAGGACCCCCAAGCTCCCCCACAACCCCTCTGGCCTGGTGAAAAGGAATGGGGACACCAGACATCTTCTGCCTAATTTGTAAATGAAAAAGCTTCACATCCACTTGCCAGGGCCCGTCCTTAGCCCAGCTGTCCACGGGGCACTCCAGCCACGGGTGGTGCAGGAGTGAGAGGCCTGTGCCTCCCTCATGCCTGTGTGCCCAGCGCCACATCTGTAACGTGGGCTGAGTGTGCCCAGCTCTGGGTGCGCTGACGGCAGCCACCGAGCGGGCCATTCTCCTCCCTGCCGGCGGAGGCCAGAGCTGCTGTCAGCTCCTGGGGCAGGCCCGGGGAGACTCCCAGTCCGCGCTTTCCCCCACCCCAGGCAGAAGGCTGAGAACTTGCTTCCAAGCCAGGACTGCAGACCTGCCCATGGAAGCACACAGGTGGTGGCGCCCCAGGGAGCCCCCAAGGCCTTCGGGCCACTGTCCTCCTCCCTGGAGCAAGGGGGACATGGTGTGCAGAGTCTGGGAACTGCCCAGCCCCACTCTTGCCTTCTATGGAAAATCTGCTCCTCCAGGCTGTGGCTGCCTTTACATAAACATCTCCGCTGCCTCCAGGCGCCTCCTCTCCTGGGCACTGACCCCGAGAGGTTACGGCTCTGAGAACGGAGGCCAAGCTTCAGGGAGGCAGGCGAGGGAACCTCCCAGCCCAGCTGCTGGGGGCCTGGACAGGCTGCCTGCACCGGCGGTCCAACAGAGCGCACCACTCCTGGCGACAGGTGTGCCAAGAAAGGCAGGCTGGGGTCACATGTGAAGTCTTCCCCTCTTTCTGCGCCCCCCTGGCCAAGGGCTGCCCCCATCGCCAGCCTCCAGGACCTTCGGGACCTCTCCTGCCCCCCAGGGCCCTCCAACCGCTCGGTCTCTGCCTTTAGGGCTCCCCTCACACACCACCTTCCCACTGTGGGAGAGCCCTGAGGACGTGCGCCTCCTGTCACAGCTCTCGCTGCCCGGGTTGGGTTGGAGAGGGGCACTGTCTGCCCCTGGCACGAGGCCGTGAACTTTGGCTGCGCAGGAACTACGGCATGCATTTTGGACGCCCAGCGCTAAAGCGGGCTTGGCCCAGGATGCCCATGTCTGGCGTCGCGGTGGAGAAATAAATCAGCCGGAAGGAACACGTGGGAGGGGCTGCGCCGGCGCTAGCGGCGGGTGCGCCTGACCCGCGTGCGCTTTCCGGGGCCACCTTAGGCGGCAGCGCCAGGGGCAGGAGGAGTACAGTGACCACCGGGCGTCTGGGCGGGGGCGGGGGGGTCCCTCCTGGGGAAGCGAGTGCAAATCCGTCGGCCGGGCACTGGCCCAGGCTGTTCCCTCCGGGCGCCCCGAGCTCGCTCTCCAGAGGCAGCGGCTGCGGCGCCACCACCTCTCACGGTCAAGTGCTTCGTCCGTCGTGGCCAGGGGTATCTGGCCTCTATTCCACCGGCGCTTAAAGCCAAGGGCACGGGGCTCCGGGGAGTGAGGCTGCCGGGTTCGGGAGCAGCCGCCGCCGCTCAGAGTGCGACTGCTCCGCCTCGGCCCGGGTCCCCCAAACTTGGCCTCAGCTGCTCCTCCCACCTGGCCGGGTCCAGCGCCCCGCCGGACAGGGCTCCCGCGGCCTTGCCTTCCCCAGCCGCCCCGGCCTCTTCTGCTATTGAGATGCAAATTTCCGTCGCCAATTGTCGCTGAGCGCGGCGACGGCTGGAGCCGGATCCTTCCGCAGCTCCGTCTCAAACTTTCGGTCTCCGAAAACTTTCGAGCGAGAAGTAGTCCCCAGGCGCCCGCCCCAAACCCCACTCCGCCCGCCGTGCCCCTCAGTCCCGGGGGGTCGTCCCCGGACGCACGCCCCGCCCGGCGGAGGCGCAGGGCCCGGCCGGGCACGCGGAGCGGCGAGGGGTGCGGAGGGATCGGTGGGGGCGGGGCCCGGGCCGGGCGGGCGCCGGGGGCGGAGCGCACCCCGGCCCTGCGCCTCAGTAGCGCGGTGGCCGCGGGAGGGAGCGCTGGGGCACGGGCGCGGGCGCGAGCGCAGCGAAGGAACGAACGGGCGCCCAGCCGGGCCCGGGGGACCGCGAGAGCCCAGCGCCGCCCCAGCCGGGACAGAGAGGGCCGCAGCGGGCCGCCGCCGCCGCCGCGGGACCGTCCGGCGCGCGCGTGTGCGCCCACCCCGCCGGCCCAGCGCAGGAGGCCGCCCGGGCGCAGCGGGCAGCCGGCGGGCAGGCATGCCGCGTCTCCTGGCGCCCCTGCTCTGCCTGGCGCTGCTGCCCGCGCTCGACGCACGAGGTAGGCGCCGCTCCCCCGCGAGCCGCAACTTCCCGCGCTCTTGGAAACTTTGGCGGGGCTCTGTGCGCGCTCCGGGTGGCTGGGAGCGGGGAGACCCGGCTGCCGGGGTGGGGAGGGAGGAGCCGGCGGCGGGGGGGAGCTGGAGTCCCGGGGCTGGGAGGACGGGCACTCTTTCTCGGTCCTCCCCGTTGGGGCGCGTTCGCGCCGCCCGCGCCCGAAGCCGAATTTGAAGCCCGGCGTGGGGTGCTGGGGACCCCGGAGGCCCAACCCTGGGCTCGTCCTTCACCAGCCGCGCGTGGGGCTTGCTGCCGGGACGGGCGGGCGGGCGGGCTGCCTACTATTTTTCGATTTGAGTCGAGTCTGCTTGGGTTTCCTGTTGCTTCTCAGGGCCATTTATCTTCTTTCTTCTTCGCCTCTGGCCCGCCCGGGGTGCGGATGTTGGGGCGCGAAGTGTGGGCTCTGGGGCGCCGCGTTCGCCTTTACTGATCCACACGCCCCGGGCCGCGGGGCTGCAGCGCGAGGCGAGGCGGGGCGAGGGGCGCGGACGGCTGGCCGCCCGGTACCGGTGTCCCCCAGCTTGGCGGTGTAGACGGTTTGGGGAGGGTGCGGGAAACTCGCTGCGCCGGGCAGGACTGACTTTCACTTTGCTTTGCGGGGTTGAAGTTTGGAAATCTTGCGGGGGCAGAGTGGAAAGGGGGGCGCTTATTTCTTTCCCCACTTGTCATCGAGGGGGGGCTCTCCGGGAATCTAGTGATTAATTCCACTGTTCCCCCAAAAGCTGGAGGTGAGAATTATCCGTTCTCCTTAGAAAGTGGGGTCTGCGTCCCATCTCCCTCCTCCGTCTTCCTCCTCGTCCCACAGAGCCGGGGAAAGCAGGGGAGGGAGGGGCCTGATTAATTGACCTCTTCTCTGAGTGGGGTCGAATTCCTTCCAAATGGGGGATCTTCGTCCCCCTCCCCTGGGAGGGGTGCTGCCCCGGGAGATGCCTGCCCTCGGGAGCAGGTATTGGGTGTCGCGAAGGCGGGGCCAGGTCCCCAGGGTGCAGTCTTGGAGCCACCGGAGGCGGCCTGGCCGACAATGGGCTGCTCTGATTCCTGAGCGGGCGCTTTGTTGGCGGGCGGGGCGGCGGGCAGAGCAGCTGTCGCATTTTCCCACGAGCAGGGGAGCTGAGTGTGGCCACCCCCTGTCTAGTGCAGCCCCCTGGTAGAACGTGTTTGAACAGAGAGACCATCGTGATGGCTGGATGGGGGCCCCAGCCCTGCCAGGGTGTCTGGGGGTGTGGGGGTGCAAAGTTTGGGAGAGCAGCCCAAGTCGCCTCTGCTTGGCTCCCCTGCTGTCCAGGTGGCGCATAAGGCCTCCCCACTTTGAGCATGACCTGTTCACCCCCCACCTAGCCTGTTCCCTGTTCCAGGTTTCCGACTACAGAGCTCTGGGCAGAACATTGAAGTCCATGGGTTTCTCGCCTGGCTTCCTGTGGCCCCTGCCCCCAGCAGCCCCCGGCACTGAGTGCGGTGCCTCCGAGTTGGGAGGCAGATGGTGCCCCTCCGTTGGGGGCTGGTGGTGGATCCCGCGCCCAGGGTAGTGAGGGCTCCGGTGCAGGCGAGGCTGACCTCTCTTCTCGTGCCCTTCCCCAGGTCCGCGATGCTCCCAGCCTGGTGAGACCTGCTTGAATGGCGGGAAGTGTGAAGTGGTCAACGGCACCGAGGCCTGCGTGTGAGTACCGCCCCTGCGGGGACCTGTTGCCCCCCTGCCTTCTGCAGCAGGCCGGCAGGGGACAGAACACTAGGCCATTGTCTTCTGGAGATGGCCCAGAAGGCTGGGCGCGGTCACGTGCTGACTTTTATTGGACAAAGTCTGGCAATTACTTAATCACCAGCAATTATGCGTGTGTGGAGCTGGGCTGGCTGCTGGCGGTTCCAGCACGCCTTCATGGGTCACTCAGGCTACTGGGGCACTAGGTGGCAGTCCCCGGTGCCCCACTTCTTCCCAGTGTCCCTGAGAAATAGCTGATCTGCCAAGGGTGCTCTGGGCCGTACTCAGAGAGGCCGAGCCCCCACCACCTTGCCAACCTGGGAGCACCTGCTTTGGGCAGGTGAACATCTCCTGGGCAGGTGATTCCTCCTCTGGGCAGGTGAGCCTCAGCAGGAAACTGACCCACCCTTTGGGCTCTCTGCTTGCCCCAGCTCACCCCTCCCTTGCCTCAGGGTGAGGTTGGCAAGAGAGGTTGGAGCTGGTCTCGTTGGTGCCCGTCTGCCCGGGTTCTGGGGATATGAGGGTTTCCGTCCTGGCACCTGCAAACTCACCTCCTGACTCTATGGCCTTTCAAGCCTCTGGCCTCGGTCCGCAGCTGAAGGGTGGGCACGAGGGAGGCTGGGAAATCCTGTTGGAATCTGCTCCCTGCCCGCCCGCGAGTCCCCGACTCGGCCGGGGAGCGTTTCTGCTGTGGCCGATGCCCTTCAACTTGAGTTCATTCCTGATGGGAATGAGGAGGAGCGTTCGGGGGCGGGAGGGGGAGGACCCTGGAGGCTGCGCTCCCTCGCCTGCCGACTGCAGATGAAGCGGCGGCTCCCCGGCCAGGCCACCCCTCATTCCAACTGCCAAGGACCCGTCCCCTTGACAACCCCCGCCCGCTCCTGCCTCCGCTGAGGGCCGGCCTGTGGCAGGCAGCCCCCCTTCCCCGGCCCCCACCCACCCCAAACTGAAGCCAATTAAGCAGGTCTGTGAGCAGTTTAATGGACAAAGCCGATTGTGTCTTTGTCAGATGCTAATGAATGCACACTACTATTTTTTTTCCGCTTTTTGGGGGCCCTCTTCTCCCCCTGCAGAAGCCTCACGGACGCTTGATGCCCTAAATCTGACTTCTTTTCATTCAGAGACCGACAGCTGGGATTCAGGGGAAGTGCAGCAGCTATTGTTGGGGGAGGCGGATTAATGCCGTGTGATTAATTATGCGAGGCTTCCCAGAACGTGTAACTCCCTTCCTCACACCCACTCGGGGCACGGCCAGAAGCTTCTCACTTCTGCAGAGGACTGGGGAGGGCAGGAGGGGTGCCCTGCTGGAGAAATGGGGGAGTGCAGAGCTACAGCTCCCTTCTGAACCCCGCTGGCTGGCGTCAGGGCTGAGACCCTCCGAGGCAACACAGCAACACAGCGGTGATGCGGTGGTGTTGTGTTGCGGGCTCTCTCCCGCGCCCCAGACCTGGCGTCTTCGCGAGCCGCGTGTAGCCCCAGCCAGGCAGCTGATAAGGGTTTTGGTGCCTAGCCTTGCCTCCTCCACTGGGGCCTGACGCCCCCTCCCTCTTGGCGGGAAGCCTGCCTCAGTTTGGCCTGGCAGGCAGCCGAGCTTGGCCCACAGAGACCCCATTGTGCACACCCTACAAATCCAATTAGAAGATGGAACGGAAGCGCCGTCCTCAGAGGCGCCCACCTCTGGGCAGCGCGGTGCTGGAGGCCAGGGCTGCAGGCAGTCGCAGCTCTGCACAGGCGCAGGGCCCGATGCACGCTGCAGCACAGCGGCGGCGGCGTGACTGCTTCAGGTTCCAGCCCCAGTTCCCTCGCTGGGCTTGGGTGGAAGAGTCCCACCCTGCACACTTTGCCTGGGGGCCCTGCCGTCCCGGCCACCCTGCTCAGAGGGTCCCAGCAGATCTTCCCAGGAGATGGCCAGAGCACGGGCTGGAGGCCTGGCTCCCTGGTGGGGAGAGACCCTTGCTCTTGCCTCAGGGGTGTCTGGACTGCAGGCTTCCGGAGCCCTGCCAGCCTGGGTTTGAACCCCGGCTCTGTGGCACCCAGTCACGACCCTTGGGAAGTTCTTTGACTCGTGGTGGTGGGTGCTGGCTCCCCTGTGGAAGGGGCGCGGGGAAGGGGAGTCACAGTGCCAGGCATGTTAGCCCTGGGTGAATCATCTTTCCGCCCGCGGAGAAGGAACCTTTCCTAGAAGACACTGTCAGGTGGTTGCTGGGCTCAGGATTGGAAAAAGTGGTTTTTGTCGGTGCCAGATGCCTTTCCAGGAGGTCAAAGTGTCACTGAGGCCTGGTCAGACCGTGGCGGCTGGGAAAGGGTTGCCGAACACGCTAGTGGGTGGAGCGTGGCCGGTCTCTGGGCAGCTGTTGTGTGGGCTAGCCATGGTGGCTGCCGCAGGAGGTTGGTGGCCCCTCAAGCAGGCCCAGGGTGGTCACCGCGGCCCTCGGCCCCACGCCAGCCTCCTCGCCCGCTCTGTGCTGAGAGAGGCGTACTGAAATGGGCTCCTCTTCTCCCTTTTTTCTTCAGACGGGGTCTTGCTCTGTTGTCCCAGCTAGAGTGCAGTGCTGTAACCTAGCTCACTGCAACTTCCAACTCCTGCCTCAGCCTCCCGAGGCACTGGGACCACAAGTGTGTGCCATCACACCTGGCGAATTTTTCTATTTTTTCTAGAGACAGGATCTTTCTATGTTGCCCAGGTTGGTCTCAAACTCCTGGTCTCCAGCGATCCTCCTGCCTCGCCCTCCCAAAGTGCTGGGATTGCAGGTGTGAGCCACTGCGCCTAGCCCCCTTCTTTGAGGAGGGCATGGGGAGAGCTGGAGGGACCTTTGTCCTTTTGGGTGAGCAGGAAAGGCTTGTGAAGGGCTGCGTGGCTCTGGGCTGGGAGTTGAGGCAAAGGCAGACGAAGTTGCTGCCCTGCCTGCAGCTCAGTCGGGATTTTACAGGGACGTCTTCCTGGTGGTCGCGGAAGTGGGGTGAGCCATCGCGCCCAGCACATCTGGGAGGGACACCCATCCAGCTGGTGGGACAACCTTGAGTTTGAGAATTGGTTCTACTGCCCGCTAGCTCCTTGACTTTGGGTCATCAGGTCACCTGGGCCTCAGTTTCCCCATCTGTAAAGCCAGGCTGATACGCAGTTGATGTCTTGGTGGCAAGTAAGGATTGCATCAGAGCTGTGCAGGGTAGGCACCGAGCGAGGGTCCGTTTCCGCCCCCCGCCCCTTGTGAGCTGATGGTGCCACTTTCAAGATCCTCATTCTGTAGCGTTTCACCAGCTAGTGGATGAATTGAGAGAGTCCAGAGGTGCGCGCTGCGTTGCGGGGGGGGGGCTCGCCAATTCTGAGGACCCTGTCACCCAGGACGGCTCCGACTCGCAGCCCCTGTGCTTTGCCAGAGCGCCACTCCAGGCAAAGCCGTGGTGCGGACAGGGCAGATGCGACCCCTGTCCCCATGGAGCTGACTTTCCAGCGTGGGGGCAGGAGAGATGTGTTGGGGGCGGGCTGGGCGTGGGATTAGGCACTGGGAGAGGGGGAAGAGGTCCGGAGAAGTCACGCCTGGCCTCAGGGTCACATGGCTACCAGCCCTGCCCCTCTTTCTCCAAAGCGTGTGTCCCTAACCACCGTCCCGTCCTGCCGGGGCTGCCCCAGTCACTTCCCGGCTCCTCTGCCGGCAAGCGGGGCTGGGGGTGTGACTTCCTTTCAGCAGAGGAGGAAGGAGGCTCAGGCGGGAAGTGACTCGAAGCTCGGTCGCTGGGGAGGGACGGGATGTTATGCGTCTTCTGTCACCTGGTCCGGCTGTTTCCATTGAGTCACCTGCCTTGTCGTGGTTAATTCTGGTTCTTACGCTTAGGCTGAGAGAGAAGGTCTGTCGTGGGGCTTCCTCTGTTTATGCGGCGCCTGGTCTTCAAGGGCACCAGTGTCAGAAAAACATGTTTAAAAACACATAGCATCAAATAGAAAGTCTCACCTACTTACTTGAACGGACGTCAGGAGCCCTGAGCTGGGCAGCCTGGACTGCTTCAACGGGAGGGGCCTCCTTGGGCCCGCCCTGCCTCCGAACAGCAGCCAGCATTTTTTCCATTGAAAAAATAATAATAATAAAGGGAAGAGCGAAACTGTGGCCTTAGCAGGAAGAGGGTGGAGCAGGGCAGACGGCGCAGGGAAGCTCTCCCGCAGTTCTGGGTGGCTGAGGGCACAGAGCCGGGTGCTGGGACCCCCAGATCCGGGGGAGGGGGAGCATAGGGGCGGACTCTCTGCAGGGCCTTGGGCCGGGGTCGCAGACTGAAGGCCCCGGGGAGCTGGGAACTGGGAACGGCTTTGCTTCTGTCCCCTCCACCTGTGATGGGCAGAGGGGTTGCACCCGCCTGCCGTGGGGAGGGGACCCTTCCTGTTTCGTGTCCTGTCTACGAATAGTGGAAGGATGTGGCTTTGCAGAGTCGATCGAGCGTCTAGATTGCCTTCCTCAATAACACGGCGATGGCGGCTGCCCGCTCTGGACAGTGCCTTCACCAGCCCCTGGCCCCCAGCTGGCTGTGTCTCTGGCTGCTCTCGCGCCTTCCCGGTGCTTTGTCCCGTTTACAGGTGGGCAGAGCTGAGGCTGGGCGAGGGGGTGGGGATCTGAGGCCAGCTTGCGTCAGCTTTCACCGTGTGCAGACATATCCAGAACTTTCCAGATCTTTCCCAGAGGCTGAGGAGGAAACCTCACCAGCTTTAACGAGCGCCTGGCCTCGGGGCATTGTGACGGTGGGGCCAGGGTGTTTCCTCCGCCTGAAATTTCCCAGACGGGCCTGGCTCTGATTGGCTGTGCCCCTCACACCATGTCGCCTCCCTGGGCCTCAGTTTCCTCCTCTGTATGTGAGGGCGTTGGGTCTGGCGGCCTGGACCCCTTTCCAGCCACGTCCAGGATCAGGCCTGCGGGCCATGGTGGGCCTGCGGCCAGGTAGGTCCTCTGGGCCGGGGCCTGCTCTAGGCCATGTGT